CTTAATAAAATTTAAAAAAATAAGATCACGTGGTGACTATAAATTGGTATTAGTCTCAAATTTCAAATATTTTTATACCATCGTGTAGACTGGAGCCTAAACTTATTTTTATATATTTTTTAAAACTTTTTTTTTAAATTAAATTAATTTAGATATCCAATAATTTATATTTAAATTTAAAAAATCAACTAAATAAAACAACAAAACAATATGTTGGATTTATTATGAACCCTTTAATTTCTTTTATTATCTGCTTGTTTTGGATTATTTTTGTTATATTTTCTGTTATTGTTTGTTTTTTTTGAAAGAATTCTCTTTAAAAATTATTTTAAGGGTGTTTCTCATTTTAAAGTAAATTTAAGCACGAAAAAACTTTTTGCAAGTGATTCTTTACTTTTAGAGGTAATAAATATTTAAATTATGAATACAATATATGTATGGCAATTAAATAAGAACTATTATTAAGTCTAATTTAATTTAAGAATTGGTTTAAATAAGTTTTCAAAAAAGTTTGGGCACTTATAGAAAACTGATAATGAAAATGGCGATTTTTAACTGGAAGGAAATTTTTCGAAGAGACGGGGGAGAGGAATTAACCGTATAACAAAAAATAATTAAAAAATAATTGCTTTAAGTAAGTAAAACCCGGCTCTATTAGAAGCCCATATCTATTTTAAATCCACCCATAGTGACTCATTAAACGCCCAGGGATTTAATTAGAGTATTAAGCTATTTCAAATTATATCAAAATGTCTTTAGTATTTTATATAAAAGTTACAAAACTTTCCATAATTGCACAGATTGACCATTACCGTGAACAACAAATCGTTCCATTCTTTACTATGGCGACAATATTCGTTAATAATCCTGGTAATTTATCTAATCCTTCACAAATTCAACGTTTAAATAAACTTGTTAATGAAATGGAAAGTTTACCAGAAAGTTGGGGGTCTTCAAGTACAAACTATTTTATTAGAGATTTATCTGATTTTTTGGGAGAGGAATCTTTAAATGATTTAAATAATGGATTGATTAATGAATTTTTGAAATGGCCAGAAAATAAACATTGGAAGGCTTTTGTTAGAACAGACGGAGAAAATGGAACTTTAAAACGTTTTTTCTTTACAACTGCTTATCATGGAGAAAGTCTTAAAGAATGGGCAGAGTAAATTAATATCTTTTAATTAGAATATGAAATAAGTACATATTACTTAGTTATTTTCCAAAAAATGTTTAAGAAAGTATAAAAATTTTGTAGGCGAAAATTGGACACATGTTCATCTTAACTACCGTCTGTAATTCTCCAGTAAGATCCAACACGACATTACTTCCCTATAATTTAATAAAAACCAGGCGAACCGCCATTTCCCGCATATCAGCTTTAAGGGTCTATAAAGTTAGATTAGCCTTTTTAAATTTAAAGACGTGCCAATCTTCAAAATAAATGGCGTGATATTATCGATAAATACAGTGATTTAAATGCTACTGTTTTCAACGATGAGGGGTTATTCTTCGATTTAATTAATAATATGCCAACAGATGCATGGCAATCAGCACTAGCAACATTAATTTGTATGACAACAATTTGTGCATTATTTATGGGAGGAGAATGGAGAACAGTTATTTTAGGTGGTATAACTATTGGCTCTATAATTTTGGGTACATTGGGTATTCTAGCTTGGATGGATATTACTATGGATCCAATTATGATGGTAAATTGAATATAAATTAATTTAACATAAAAATTATTTTTTTCAGGCTGCTTTAGTAATTTCAATTGGATTTAGTATAGACATCCCTGCCCATGTTTCATATCACTTCTACAGTTCTGGTAAATTGTTTGACTATCTGTAATCTCCATAAGTCATTATTGTAATTGTAAAAACCGAATATTTTAGCCGATTTATGCATTTAAAAATTGGGAAACATTAATTAATGAGAAATGGTGCACGGACTTTTGTTCCTCTCAGTTGTAGATTAGACATACTTATTATTCTCTCATTTATTGTTTAAAGTTAAAATTTTAAAGGTTTTGATTTACCAAAACCGATCAACAGAAATGACCGACATTCATTCCTCAATCAACGTCTAACAACTACTTTACTTGCTGTTGGAATACCAGCATTACAAGCAGCAATATCAACATCATTTTGCGTTCTTGCACTACTATTAGTTCCTCTTTATATGGCACAAATATTTGTTAAAATAATGTTTTCTTGTATTATTCTTTGTGTTATTCACTCTTTAATATTAATTCCTGCGTTAATTGTATTGTCTGATGGAATTTTGTGGAATTTATTTTTACTTTGCCATAATACAGAATCTGTGCCAAATTCTATAGAAAGTTAACAAAATGAGTGATCTTCTTTGTTATTTTTTATTAGTACACAAAAAGTTTTTGTATTTATTAAATAAATTTATTATTATTAAATAAATCTGTTTAACTCATTTAGGTTCACAATCGGATGGGAGGATCAAAAGTTATAAAATTTAACTAATTCCCCTTCACAAATGAGAGAATTGACCATTTTCCCTCCCTCTGACCATTTTATAACTTGTCTCCTTCTGACCCTTTCTCATGTTTACAATAAAGTCAGACGCACGAGAGATGCAATAAAATGAAGAGAGTACATAGATATTTAATTTGAAATTTGGCGTTATGTTTAAGGAAAAGAGTTAGCTAGTTTTCGAGCGTGCGTCAACAGGGTGGACCCGTGTGGTTTAATTATCTCTAAAAGTTTAAAAACTTTCTTTTCATTTTGTACATTTAAATATTTAATTTTAGTATTTTTTATTCATTTTGACCTCCCTCTCAGTTTACAATGTTCATCACAGAACAACTCAATAATGATGTTTGGGAGCTTCTGGAACCAAAAAACATTCATTCCCAAATCTCATCAGACTTTTATAAATTACTAGCTGATGAAAAATGGCAGGAACGAATGAAAGGATTGGAACTTTTGTTTAAGCTTTTAAGTGATTGTAAAAGAATTGCAGATGATCCTGCGCATAAACAATTAATTACTAGTCTTAGCAAGGTATGCACAGTCGGTTTTTGATTTATAATTAATTACGTTAATCCTATTGCTAGTCAAGATTGCGATTTATATTTTCTCATTTTTAAGGTTCTTGCCTCGGATTCAAATATTAATTGTGCTTCTATGTCCGCCAAATGTTTATGTTTAATTGCTCAAGGACTTCGCTTTGGGTTCTCTCCTTACTCGGCCGGATTAGCCCCAATTTGTTTTGACAAATTTAAAGAAAAAAGGGCATCTTTGAAAGAGCCTCTTTCTATTTTAGTCGATGCTCTTTTTCTTGCTTCTAATAAGAACTTATCAGTTCTGACTCAAACAATTATCGAATTTGCAACAAAGCCAAACCCTAGCCAAAAATCTCAATTAGACTTGTCTCTCTACAGACTTTTTCGTTCTTTGCCGGCAAAGTATTTACCTAAAGGATTTGTTAAAGAATTGGTGCCTATTCTTTGCGAGGTTTTTTCAGAGGAAAATTTATTTAAAATTTGATTTTTTAGCATTGTTCGGGATCCGACCCACAAGTTAGAGATTCTTCTTGTGCTGCATTGGGAGCTTTGCAAAAATGTGCCGGAGAACAAGTTGTTTCAACTTTTTTGACTCAAAATGTTGCTACCGATGAAAGGAAAATGATTAAAGTTTCATATTTTTAAAGTATATTATGAATTGTTTTTATTTAGATCAGAGAATCCAAGGTTAAAGCTGAAGAGGAGGATGCAGAATTGAGAAAAAAGGTTTAAATTAATTTTTCCCTCTAATTGTAAAGTAGAAAATTTAATCATAAATTTTAGGCTCCATTACTCACTTCCAGCAATGAAAATATTCAAATTAAATCGGGACATTCATCAACTGAACAGCTCAATGGCAAAGAAAATGATGTTTGGGAGCTTCTGGAACCAAAAGACATTCATTCTCAGATCCCACCAGAATTTTATAAATTACTAGTTGATGAAAAATGGCAAGAACGCATGAAAGGATTAGAACTTTTGTTTAAGCTTTTAAATGATTGTAAAAGAATTGCAGATGATCCTGCGCATAAACAATTAATTGCTAGCATTGGCAAGGTATGTATTTAAATTCACCCTTTTAAAATTTTTTATAAATCTGTCTTGTTTTTGTTAATGGGGAATAATTTTAAAATTTAAAATAAAAATTCTCAGGAATTACAATTGAGGGAATACAAGAATGTCTACATCTTTTCAGCTTTAGAAGCTAAAAATTTTGCAAACATTTTATTTTTCATTTTTAAGGTTCTTGCCTCGGATTCAAATATTAATTGTGCTTCTATGTCCGCCAAATGTTTATGTTTAATTGCTCAAGGACTTCGCTTTGGATTCTCTCCTTACTCTGCCGGATTGGCCCCGATTTGTTTTGACAAATTTAAAGAGAAAAAGGCAACTTTGAAAGAGCCTCTTTCTATTTTAGTCGATGCTCTTTTCTTTTCCACGATAAAGGTTGGGGAGTTTAAATTTTAAAATTGTTTATGTAAAATTAACGGTTAATAGCAAAAATTATAAGTTTTGAATTTTAATACAAAATTCTCTCCTCGCTTTATATATTACTTATACCTCCTTACTCAAGCATTGAAAAATATTACAATTCTCCGTGTTTATAAAAATTTTTTTTTCATTTTTAGAATTTACATTTAATCACGCCATTTATTTTGGAATTTGCAACAAAGCCAAACCCTAGCCAAAAGTCTCAATTAGACTTGGCTCTCTACAAACTTTTTAGTTCTTTGCCGGCAAAACATTTACCTAAAGGATTTGTTAAAGAATTGGTGCCTATTCTTTGCGAGGTTTTTTCAATGGAAAAATTATTTAACACTTAATTTTTTAGCATTGTTTGGGATCTGACCCACAAGTTAGAGATTCTTCTTGTGCTGCATTGGGAGCTTTGCAAAAATGTGTCGGAGAACAAGTTGTTTCAACTTTTTTGACTCAAAATGTTGCTACTGATGAAAGGAAAATGACCAAAATTCGAGAATATCATCATAAAGTCAAAGTAATTTATTTAAAAAAATTTAAATTTCTATTTTAAAATATCCAAAGGATATTCCTAATTTTCATTTGCCTGCTTCTAACGTGACGAATAAAGATTCAGAACATTTGATATCTTTAGAAGCATCAATTTGTTCAAATAAATCTTCAATTAAAGACAAAACCTTTACAATGAATCAAAATGTTACCAAAAACAACAAAAATGTTCGTCCATCAACAACAGCCTGTTTAACTCAAAGAACTCCTTCATCTATTAATTCAACTACAATTAAACCATCTATGCCAATATCTCGTCAAATTCCGTTTCGACCTGTTACTGCTCAGCCGCCTCAAATGACACCAACAACCAAACGGACAATGTGTTTTGCATATCCAAACACGCCTTCAGGTTCAAGAATTCCAAGAATTACAAATTTAAAAAAGTGAGGGAAAATGAGAAAAGGAGAAAAATGGTTTTAAAAAATTTTAAAGGAATTAATGTTTAAATTGAATTTTAGAGAATTTTTTTAAAAATTGATCTTCTATAGACATATTTGATTCGGGAAATTTTATATTAATTATTTATTGCTTCCATTTGATTGTTCGATTGACATGTCTTTCTTCTTTAAAAAGCCTTTTAAATAAATATTTTTTAATTTTTATTTAATGAGTTATTTTCTTTAGTTGGACAAAAATATCACATCAATAAAACAAAACTTTTTTTGAATTTATAAAAAAAATTCTTATTAAATTTTTGGTAATTAAAGGAGAAAATTTCTTTTTATAACCAAATTTAATTTGAAAAATTTTAATTTTTTTATATTATTTATTCTTAAACCATCTTTAACAAAAACATAGTTATTGTGATCTCTGTGGATCTTTAAATTTTTTATTGCTCATTCTATTTTTTCAGCGCCTTGTTCAGAGTGTTCTTTGACCTTTATTAAGATTGTATTTCTAAAGATATATTTTTTGATAAAAATTATAACAAAATCATGTTTTAAAATAGTAATTTTTAAATTTAAAAAATGGGTGAGAGGGGTCAAATATTTAGCAAATTTGGTACTATTTGAAGAATTTTTTAAAGATCAAGTTTGATCACTATTTTAAATAAAATTAACGCAAATGAACCAAATAAAACCCCCAAAATTTTATTTAAATTCTTATGTAACAACAATTTAAAATAGGTAATTCACAATTATTGAAAATGAATAAAAAATAAAATTAATTATAGTAATTAGTAGTAACCTTTGTTTTAATAATTGAGCATTTAAATTTTATATCAAAAGTTAGCCTAATTTGTACACAATAAATTTAAAATAAAATATAAACAAAATTTTAGTTTATTTTTTTAATGACTTGTATCATCAATTTTTTGGTTAGATTTTGAATTAATATTTGGATTATCTGTTGTATTCACCTTTTCTTCTTTTTCATTTTCTTCTTGTTTTAATTTATCTCCTCCTTCCCCTTCCAGTTCAATTGAATGAAATCTTTCCAAATTTGGTCTTCAAAAATTATTTTTATTTATTTAAAATATTTTAAAATACCTATCAGTAATTGTTGATTGTTTATCATTATTATTAATTGTTTTATTAATTCCATTTTGATTAAATAATTTCCTTTTCTTTTCATTAATTAAAGTATTTTCTTTTAAAGAACTTTCTTGACTTCCAGATTCTTCTGGAATAACATTATGTATTCGATTGTTTTGTTTAACTTTTGAATGACTTTTTGAAATTCGTTGACGACACGAATAGACGACTGGATCAAAAACAATTAAAAATGCTGGCAAAAAGAGAAGACCATGTAAATTACACAAAACAACACAGAGAACCTTTTTTTAAAGAAATTTTTTTGGAGGAAATTGTTTGAACAAACCATTGTTTTAACAAAAACTTCAGCCATATAAAGTTTAACAAAAAGTAAAGAACAAACACAAAATATTGTAGATAAGGCTGCTTGAAGTGCAGGAAAGGCAACGGACGAGAGACAATTTACCTTTAAAGAATTATTTTGTATTCATAACCCAAATTATGTACTTCAACTTAATTTGAGTTTAAAAACTAGCTGATTTTTTTTGACTAACTGATTTAAATGAAAAAGGATGTATTCTGGATGGATGTGGGATTCAGGCCCGTAGCCAGGGGTGGGGTAGGGGGGGGGGGAATTACGCATAAATTGTCAGTAGTCAAAATTCAGACTAATGTCAAATATTATTTTTAAATTCTCACCAATTTCATTTCTGGAGTTGCATTTAATTCTCGTATTGCTTAATTTATTTAATTCTAAAATAAATTTTAAACGAAACTAACAAGCTTGGTAGTAATGATAAGAAACGTGTGCAGGAATATCAACACTAAAACCAATTGAAATAATCATAGCAGCCTAATAAATTAATTAAAAAAACTTAAAAATCTCCAACCATCATAATTGGATCTAAATCTATACTCCACCAACTTAAAATCCCCAAGATTCCACAGCAAATTGAGAGAACACAGCTTGAAGCAAAGATAACAGTAAACATACTGCTTAAAAATGCAAAACAAACAAATGCCATACAAACCTATAGAAATTAAAGTCCTTAGATATTTTAAAATAATAAAGAAAAATATAAATTTTTCCCTCATAAAAACTTTTGGAGATATGCTTTGACATTTTCAAAGTAAGCAAGTTCAGGATTTTTTGAAAATAAAAAATAAAAACTATCTCAACTCATCTCGTTTTTTACGAACTCGATAATAACAAATAACACATTTTAAAACAGAAAAACATTTAAAAATCCTACCAAAGTTCCAAGTACAGACTGCCATGTATCTGAGGGCATATTATCTATTAAATCAAGAAATACAGCATCTTCATGAAAAACGGAAGCATCAAAATCTTGTCTTTAAAAATTATTATTTTTTATATTTTAAAAAATACAACTAACGAATATTTATCTACTACAGCCCTCCATTCTTTTAAAAGTTTTCCCCTTTCAGTCCAAACTTCAAGTTTATCTCCGTGATATCCAGTTGTAAAGAAAAAACGTTCTAATTGCCCACTATAAATATTTTTAAATTATTAATTTAATTTTGTCAAAAACGTTTTATTATCCAATTTTAAAAATCCACTCCATTGAGTATATTCTGGCCAACGCAAAAAGACAGCTAAATCTTCTTCCTTAAACGGGCCTGTAGGGATTTCTAATGACCTTTCATCGTCTACTGTCATTTCAGATAATTGAGGTGAATCAGAATTTTCATTTAGTCCTTTTTCTAATTCCATAGCTTCTAATTCGTCAGGATCTGTTTCTCCTAAATAAAAATATTTGTTTTGTTAATGAAGGATAATAATGTACAGGGTGCGGCAAATTAGGCGCGCGATTTGTTTTGGCTATATCTTTCTTTAAAATTTACAAAAATTGATAATTCTTTTTTTATTTTATTCACGACTCTCTAAGAAAATTTTTGGTTTCAAAAATGAGAAATTTGGTTCACAGATAGTAAAGATATTCCCGTTAGAACATCTAAAAGTGTAAAAAAATATTTTTATGCCAAATTTTAATTACTCATAACATCGTTCAAAATTGTTCAATCCCATTGATTTTGGTACCAATCGACTTATCTTCTTCAGGCGCATCGAAATAGCTAATAATCTCATTTTTGAAAATTTGATCCAAAAATTTCTATTTGCCAAAATTATTTTAATTTTTCATTCAAGTAGCCATATCTCGGTTCATTTACATGATAGGCGCCTGATTTTGATGTCATTCGAATCAGATTTAGTAGCTGATTCGAATGGTATATAAAATTCCCATATCAATCTCATAACCTTGAAGCTAGACCCAGTTATACCCAAAAATTTTTGCTCGAAATTCGAGAAAAGATTAATCAACGTAAATTATAAAATTTAAATGAGTTTTTGGTATCGGAAATTTTCTTAGAGAGTTGCGAATAAAATAAAAAAAGAATTATCAATTTCTGTTAAGTTTAAAGAAAGATATGGCCAAAACAAAACGCGCGCCTAATTTGCCGCACCCTGTATTTGATATTTAAAGAAATTAAAGTCTCAGGCTTATATTTAATCCCAAAAATAGAGAAAGTTCCCATATAACACCATTCTTTGTAATTCAAATAAAAATTTTCCTTAAACCAGTTATAATATTATTGCCAAAATCCGTTTTTCGGTTTTGACCAGATACAGGTTTGATTATAGAGAGCCTTACTCGACAACTAGTATTATAAATTTAATATTTATTCATTTATACTAGATTTAAATTCCTAATAAATTATTAAAATTTAATTTAAAATTTTTGCCTGCCTCCAAAATTTTTCTCAAAAGTAATAAAATCTCTAACAAAGTATTGAGTGCCAATAGTTCCCCAAGAACGTCCCCAAGTTCCATTTAGTTGTTCCATTTCTCTAACAAAATTATTCATTTTTTCAAGTCGTTCAGGATTGCTTAAATTTTTTGGTGCACAAATAAAAACTGTGGCCATCATAAAATGAGGTACTTGGTATTTAACACGTAATTTATCCAACTTTATTTTAAATAAAATATTTATTTATTCAGAAAGAAATACTTGTAATAAAGGAGAATCTTCTGCAAATAATTTTTGTGTAGTTAAATTAATATTCATTCTAGTTATTCCCCAAATTGAGAAGCCAACATAAACAAAATAAATAAAAATAACAAACAAAGCAACTACACGCTTTGATATTACTTTTATGTAAAAAGTTATTGTTTTGCTAATATAATGTTTTGTATGTTCGTGAAATTTGCTTTGTTGTCTCTGTTAAATAAATTTATTTTCTAAATTTCTGAAAAAATTAATCATCATCTTTTTTCTCCTGAACATTCCCCTAAAACATGTCCTCTCCTAAACATGTCTAAAGTATTCCATTTAAATCGAGATAAAATTCCTCTATATCAGAAAAAAATAATTTTAAATTTACATTTAAAGATTGATGTTTTCCATATCCTAATTCGCAATTATTATTATTATTATTAATCCCAATTTGAGAAGAGCCATTAGAAATTGCTTTTCTTATACTTTCTTGTATTTCCCTTCTTTCTCGTTTTTCTAAAGCAATTTCATATCTCCCTACAAGAGACATTAAACCAGCATAACAAGTCATCTTTAAATGATTTTTTTTTGTCAAAACAAATTTATTTTTTAAATACTTGATAAATAAAAGCAATAATCATCGAAATTAAATTTCCAACACACAAAAGTGTTATTTCTGGAGAGGATGTAATGGCACCTATCCCATCAGCAAACACATTGGTTAACATTGAAATTAATATAGCTGGCCCAACTTCTGAGAGAACCTTAAAAATAATTTAAAAATTTAAATTAATTGTTAGTAGATATTAGCTAAGAAAGAATGAGAAAGTTTTATCAGAAAAAAATAAAAGAAATAGTTTATTTATTTAAAATAAAACACACTTGAGATACTCGATAACCAACATTTAAATTTTTTCTATTTGGCTGTTCACGGCAATGTTTAATAACACTTTGCCATTCATGATTCATTAAATAAGAAGAATCAACGCCTATTGAAAGAACTAAAAAAGGGATAACACACAAAATTGAAGCAAATCTCAGTCCACAAATAAACATTAAACCAAGTGCTGTTGCACAAGACATAAAAGGCAAAAAACAAATTGCTATAGCCAAAAATATCTTTTTTTTAATTTTAAAAAATTATTTTTTTTTCTTTAAATTAAAACTTTTGGAGGGCTATTTTGATGCATATAAATGGCACGATTTAATACAAAAAATACTGAGCAGGCTACCATAAACAAAAAACCAACAGACAAATAAGGAACCATTGAAATTCCAGCACGTACCTAATTAAAAATAATTCTTTTTTAAATTAAATAAAGTAACTAGCCATTTCTTCCTCTACATAAGTTGTTGATAATACATATAACTTTAAACGTTCAGATTTGTATTCCCTTTTTAAGAAATAATTTTTTTTCTTATTTTTTTAAATTAAATATTTTACTTTTCAAATCGGTTAACCATTGCCATTTCATAAGTTTTTACAATTTCACTAGTCCACCCATTTTCATGTTCTGCTCGAAATTGTAATACAACCATTTTTATCTAATTAAATATAAAATTTATTTTACAAAAATTTAAATTTTGAAGAATTTATAACAAAATTTTTATTAGGGGCAATAAGTAGAAGGGCAAAAAAAAATAAAAAAACTTTCTCGGTGCTATCTTTTCAAAATTGGAAATGAGCGGAAAAACAGAAATCACTTTAATGTGAAGGAAAGGAAATTGCTTTTCAAAATTTTGTTAGGTACTAAAAATTAAAAAAGGATGAAAAGCCCCGCCAACATTTTTATTTTAAATTAAATAACCGATTTTATATTTGTAATTTTAGTCGTTGAATTATTTTCTAAATTTAAAATATTATCATTTTCAATATCCCTTTCAGTTCTATTTTTCTTCGATTCTTTTTGTTTTATTAAAATATTTGTTTTATTTTTATTTTCTTCCTCCTCTTCATCAGCTTTTACTTTAAGTAATGCAGCTGTTAAATTAAAATTATTTTTATCTTCAATTTCATTTGTATAATTATAACGTTCAACACCAAAAAAGCTTTGCTATAAAAATAAACTTTAATTAAATTATGATCGAGAATTTATTTTTAATTTTATTATCAGAGAGCAGTAAAAGTTAATTTTTGGTACAAAAAACATTTTTTAAATTTTCTTGTCGTATATTTGGATTGTTTAAAATTCTAGGGTCAAATAAAAAATTAATTTTTTGATTTTTCCATTATATTTTTCCCGTCCCTAATTTTCTAAATTAAATTTCCTTCTTTACTTGTAAAGTAAAAGTGTGTCCAATAATTTGAGACTTTGGATAATTTAATTTAATTCTTGAATTAGGTTTATTTCCCATAGCTATAGATTCTAGTTGAAGTCGAAAGCCATTCTAAAATAAAAATTAATTTTTCAAATAATTTTTAAACAAACATAAAAGCCCCTAACAGGCTCGTTAATTTTACAAAAACTGCGGCAAAATTGAGCAAAACTTTTGTTATGGCCATTTTGTTGTAAAGTCACATTTTCATTTGCCAAATTTAAAATCTTTTTTTTAATAAAAAATATTTTTTTTAATTTAATCTCTTCAAAATTACTTCAACTGTTTCATTGAGGTATCTTTCCCTGAGCATATTTCCCCCATCCTTAGCTAAAGCAAAAATATAAACAGTAATACCCGGTCCATCATGAGAAAAAAATTCCTGAAAAATTTTTTGATTTATTTAAAGGTGATTAAATTTAATTAAAATTAAATTTAAAAACCAACTTGATAACGAGTAAATTCTTGTCTAGCTGTTAAATATTAAAATTAAAAATAATATTCAAAATTATAAATAAACCTCTTGCTCCATATGGAGAATAACCAGTAATATCATTCTCTTGCCTTAATATTTAAATATTTTAAATAAATTGGGTAATTTACTTTGTTGTCAATACAAAATAACTGAAAAATAATTTAAAAAATAATTTTATTTAAATTAAAAAACCTACAGGCAAACAAGACTGATTAATACACAAATGAGAATTGCCTTTAAACTATGATCAGCAATGAAATAACTGAAAAATATTTTTAGATAAATTAAAATATTTTGAATATTAAATTATTAAAATTTAATTAATAATGGGCAGTGATTTGTATTTAATAAAAATAAAATAAAATTTCTACTAAAGTTGAACGAGTGTATGTTTATTCTCTAGTTATGGATATCAAAGCACCCCAATTTCCGTTACCTTGGGGTATGCTAAAACAGTGATTAACTAGATATTTGGAAGAGGACTGGACATTTAATAATAGTTAGGTACTTTTAATTTAATTTAAATCAAAATACCCCCATCTCCGATAGCATCGAATGATAAAAATAACAAAACGAGGCATAGGCTCGCCAGGCTGTTCCATGAGTAAGTCTACAGAACGCTAACAAAATTTCCAAACAAAATTGAGATTATTTAAAAACTTTTAGAATACCTGCCCCATAACTATAGAACTTCGTCTCTTTTCCATAAAAGAAGGGGGATGCCCACCAAATATGGCTGGGACTCGATGCCGCAAATCTGACGGGATTGGAGAGCCCGAACGAGGCACCGTGCCTGTATGAGACGGGGGAGTTTGGGGTAGTGATGATGGAGGGGAATCCATTGGTAAATCTTCTGTCATTTTAATTTAATAAAATAAATAATTGTTGAATATTTTAAAATAGGCTAAAATTAATTTAAAAAATTAAATATTTTTTTGTTAAGAAGGAATTGGACAGAACAACGATTAATTAAATACTGTATACTATGATCAAATATATTATTTGACAGAAATTATTTTGGATATAATTACTTGGTTGTATAATCTAGTGCCTAATTTATTTTTAAAATTTTGAACTAAAATTTAAACTTTTTTCACGTAAATATTTAAAAATATTTTTTGTTTATATCCAAATATATAGACTTGTATAAAAGAGAAAATAAATAAATAAAGAGATGTAAAAGTCAAAGCAAAGCCGCGAATAAATAAATCAATTTGTTGGAGTATCCAAAAGATTTTTTGTTAGCTAATCCAATCATCTGCATATTGCGCATCTTTACAAGGAGATAATCAATTTATTTAATCTACAAACGGCGAAAGGAGGAAAATTTAGTTTAAAAAATATTTAAATAAATTAAATATTTGTTTAAAAAAGTTGTTTATTTTTTTATTAAATAATAAAAGTGGATGTAGTAATAAATACTTATTTATAAAGGAAATAAAAAATCACATGTTTTCCGTTAATTCTGACAAATATTTGTCGAATTTTCTGATTGGCCTTTGGTGTATATTACAGAAAATAAATAATATAAACTTTAAAGATCAACTTAAGTTTTTAATTATAATTATAATTAATTATTATGTTGTAAAAAAGTAACTTTTAAAAAGAAAAGCAAAAGATCAAAAAATTATAGAAAGGAAAAAAATCAAAATTAATTAAACGAGAAATTAGACAAAAAAAGGAGAAAAATTAATGAAAATTGAAATTTCTTGATTTTATAGCGGTAAAAGAAAATAAATTGTTTTAAATAAAATAACACAATTGTGAAGAAAAGATGCCGACAAACAAAAAATGAGTGGTGTTGAGTAAATTGTTGCTGCGCAATTGGGCAAACGGAAAGTGAAAGATTATAGGAAAGGGGGAGAGACAATAAAATTGAGAAAAAAGTGAAAAAAAAAGAAAAAAAAGTAAATCGCGCAACTAAGTAGGAGACGTTGTTGTAAATGGCTGCGGCGACATATTTTGTGTGTTTGATTTGTTTAGGCCAATATATTTATATTTTTTGGAGAAAGTATTGAAGAAGAAGGTGTTGTTTGGTTGTGTGTAATGATGATAATAAGTGAGGGTGGAAATTGTAAAAGATGAAGAGACGTTGAAGAAAGAAAAAAATTGGGTTTCAAAGACGTTAGGAATTGCGCAAACCTAAGAAAAAATAACGAGAAAAAATTATTTTCTACATTAAATATTAAAATAATAAAATTTAGCTTTATGGTTTTCTCAAATTAAATATTTTGTCCAAAAAGATGAAAAAAATTTGAACTTAATTGTTTTTAATTTTCGTTTAATTTTTAAAAATTTAAGAGGTATAATATTTAATCATTCGAAGAAGGTTTTTTAAGAAACAAAAAAATTTTTTTGTATTTCTTTTGTATTTAATTAATTTGATATTATTTTTGTATTTAAAATGTTGAGAAATTAGAATATTTCTGGCAATTAATTGTCATAATAAAGGGAATGCCAATATGATAATTAAAGTAAAAATTAAAGAGAATTTAGCTTAAAATTTTTTTAATAATTTTTGTTAATTTTATTTTTAATATATTTGTGATCGATGAGAATATATATAATGGATCAACATTACCCACAAAATTTATTAAAAAAACCAGTTACAGTTTTTATATATTGAATAACATTAAAGAAATTTAATTGAAAAAATATATAAATTAAAATTAAAATAAAAGTAATGTGACTTTAAATAAATAAATATATTTGTAGTAGACTTTTTGAAATTTGTTTTTGTTTATAAAATTTTAAATAAAAATTGTTTGGGAAATTAATCTTTTAATTTATTTTTAAATAAAAATAAATTAATTTTTACTATTTTTGGGGGAAATTGTTTTTAGAAACAATTAATTAATTAGAAAATAATAAAAGAAGAAATCTGTTATCACCGAGATTCCGTAAATTTAAAACTATAAATAATTTTAAAAAAATTAATATAAATATTTTTATTTTTAAAAATTGATTAATTAATTATTTACAATTAAAAAATCTCATTTTATTTTTCTCTCAAACAAAAAATTCTTTTTCAATTTTACGAGGGGGCCTTCGAGGACTTGGACCGAGTTCATAGCTGTCACCAGCTTTTTGCCTTAAAACTTTTAATTAATTTTTAATTTAAACAAAATACCTGCAATAATTAATAACAATAATTAATGCTAACAAAATACTTGAAAGTAAGAAAATTAAAATTAAAGGTTGTTGAATGCCGGTAATTAAACGTTGAAACATTTTTAAATAAATAATTTTAAAATAAAATATTTTATTTATTTTAATTCAAAAAAAGACTATTTTAAATAAAAATTTAAATGTGCCATTTTAAGATAGAAAAAATGAAGAACAAATATAAAATAAAATAAAAAAAAGAATTATGTATTACAACATCCTTTTTTACTTTTTAGCTGTCATTTTTTACTTCTTATTTTTATTCTTTTTTTACTTAAAAACTTCGATGCATAACATCAATTAAGCGCCTAAGGCGGAAATGTTTTTTGCTTTAAAAATAATTTCTGGGTAAAAAGAAGAAAATATGTATGTGTATATTTAAATTTGAATAGTTTTTAAAGAAACCTAAAAATAGTATTTTTACAGGGTTTATTTAAAATTAGGTTTAATTCTTGATTTAAAATAATAATGAGAAGAACTAAAAATAAAATAATACAAAAATAAATTTTAAAATATTTAAAGCAAAACACGAAAAAATAAATGAAACTTTTTGTTGCTTAAATTAATTATCATTACTTTCTGATTATTTATAGCTTTATGAGTAGAAAAGAAAAATATGGGAAGATCAAATAAATAGTACAAATAAGTACAGATAATTTTGTTAATATAATTTGTATAATTTTGTAATTTGTATAATTAATTTGTATAATTATAATTTGTATAATTATAATTATAATATAATTTGTATAATTAATATAATTTTGTCCAACAAAATTCACTACAAAGTAGGTAAATCAAAGATATGTATGTTAAGAGAGAATTTATTGAATATCATTATAGAATTGAGTATAAATTCAAAATTTCAAAAATATTTTCTTTAAAACACGGCAATTAAAATAATTAGTTATTACTTCAAATTGTCTGAATAGAGAATGGCCACTATTCCAGTGAAAATGAAAATAGATATAAAGAGAACTAAAAAATATTGTTTTATTAATTGATAATTTAATAAATATTTTAATGACTTTTTTGTATGTATTTGGTTGAGATGAAATAGAATCTGGTTACCGCATAGATTTATGGGTAATTTAAAGCCTTATCGATAAATTGATGAAATATTTTAGCTTTAATAATTAAAAAAATTTAAATTTGTTTCAAAAAAATAAATGTTAATTTTCAATTGATTTATTAAGAATGTCCAGATATTTAGATTTGCGAATTTTGAAAAAAAATTGGAGCAACTCCTCTTGGGCTACTTTAAAAGATAAAACTAGAATAAACGAGAATACTTAGAGACTAATTAAAAAATTATTTTAAAATGTCAGGTTAAAAAGATAAGTCTGTTTATTTATTAAATTAATTATTGCCAGTCTTGTTTTTTTCAATATGTAACTTTTGTTTTTGTAAATATATTTATTTTAATTAATTAAATCTTTTTATTTTTAAGCTAAAAATATATTGATTTCTAATTAATTTCCACCCAATTAATTGTCTACTACTAGCTCTCATTATTATATTAGAAAATTCAATAAAATATTCAATTAACAACCTTTTCTTATTATTACCCCATTAAAGGTTCTGTCCAATTAATAAAGTAGTTAACGGCAATCGTTTTATTTTTTTTACAATTCTTTTTACTATCTCAATTAAAAATAAAAAGCAATTGTGTGTAGAGTATATCTCTACTTCTACTTCTACTACTTCCGAGGCGTTCATTATATTTATTTATTTATTTATTTATTTTCAAGTCCATAACAACTGCCCCCCATTTTTTGCAGCCTTTTCCCCTTTCTCATATTAATTACTGCCCCATATCCAATTACCCATCGGCACACCGGTGTGCCATTCAAAAGCTCTGAAAGTGTGGGAGCAACTGACATTACAAGTAAATATATACACACAAAGAGTTTTTACGTTTATTTTTGCTAATTGCTTTGCCTAAATGAAAATGTTGTTGTTGACTCTTGACAAAAAAAATTTTTTAACTCTTTATTTTTGTGGTTTTTGTTAATTATTTTCTTTCTTTATGTACGAGGTCAGGAGATTACAAAATATCCTTTTTACATATATTATTTCCTCTCGTTTAATTAAATAAAATCTTTGCCTGATTGATTTGGTCAGTTTAGGAATATTTACATTTTTTGATACATGAGAATTGGAATAATCTTTGGAATAATCTTTAAAATTCGGGGTTTAAAAAAAATTTTTTTCTTTATATTTAATTACATATTTATTAATTTCTAATAGTAAATATAAAAATGCCCAAGAGTACATATTTAATTAAGACTTAATAAAATGCCAAATATAATTAATTATCCCTTTTTATAATTGATTTTGCTCTTTTAATTAGCTACCAATTAATTTATGTAATATTGACATATAAATTTGCCTAATTTAATTTTTAAAATTTAACAAAATATTTTGTCGATTCTAAAAATTTAAATATACTTTATTTGGGTTTCCAAAAACTTTATTTGGGAATTTAATATGTACATAAATATTTTTTAATTTTTATCCATATCCCTTTATTACCTCTTAATTTAATTAAAAATAATTTTTAAAATAATTTTTTTAAAAAAACTTTAATTTATTTTCATTTATTTTATCACTTTTCTCTACTTTAGATATTAATTTAATTAAATAATTTATTAAAAATGTAAAGGCAAAATGAGAGCATTTTACTTTGCCTTTACAT